CTGCGCATGTGTCATTTGTGTTGTCTTAGTCAGCACCTTCTGCTCCAGCTTGTGCTTTTTAAACTCAAGTTGTTGTTCTTCTTCTTCCACGCACCGACACCTGGGACAGGTGCTGGTGTAAGAGAGGCGGCCTCATTGATTAAGAGATTTGAGTTTCCTTTATGTGCAAGCAGAAACCGTGAGGTGATTTTACACCCAGCATGCTCATCAAAGCAAAGATAAAAGAAAGAAAATCAATGATTCCCTCTGTACATGTCCCCTGTGTACATACAGCATCATAATAACATTCATGTCACAGTGCTGCCCTCTGCTGGGCAAATAAGAAAAGCAAAAACATTTCCAGGCTGTCATCGTGGAGAAAACTGCACATGGTGATCCAGCTTTTATCTCCCATGAATTTTTTACGGGCAGGCGCGCGATCAATCTCAATACGACACACACATTCAATTAAATGCATTAATTAAAATGTGTGTGTGTGTGTGTGTAGTAGCAAGAAAAGGTAGGTCAGCAGGAGGGGTAGCTGCTTAATGGCTTATCAGGACCCTGGCTAGACTGTGTGTGTGTGTGTGTGTGTGTGTGTGTGTGTGTGTGTGTGTGTGCGCGTGCGTGCGTGTGTGTGTGTGTGTGTGTGTGGCCAGCGGTTACTGAGCCATTGACCTAATTTTTGGCTGAAGACCGAGAGTCGAGGTTTACAGTCACGCACTCCTCATATCACACCCGGCCGACTGATTTTCTGTTTCTCTTTAATAAACCTTTTTCCCCCGCGCTGAACCTCTCAGACTTAATTATTGTCCAGTCCAGAGTCTGAATGCTTTTTTACTTCTTTGCCATTTTTCTGATTGCCCCCGTCAAGCCTATTGAACCGCCCGTGTTATTCTCCATGCACCTTCTGCCCCCGACTCTATTGATCAAAGGGCTCCAGTAAGAGGACGTCCTCTGAAACCCCCCACCCCCACCTCGTCAGTCTACTACAAATCTCTCACACACCATCTCTCCTTCTCTCGCTCCTTCTTGCCAAACTGTTCACAAGATGAGGTTTAGGGAGTGTTACTTTTAGGAGCGTGACTTCCTCACAAGGCAATGAAGCTGCGCTCCTTCTGCCTGGACATTTTTCATCTGACTTCACATTCAGGTATTCAAGCGCCGCAGAACACGCTTTAATCTCTGCGTTAGGTTTTCACTTGGTTCTCCACACTGACGTAAGATGACTGCTTCAGTGCAAAAAGATAAAAAACATTGGCAAACTTTAGGTTTTCAAACAGAGAGTGAAGAAAAAAAACAAGCACAGCTTTTCTAGATAACTCATCAGCATCTGAGGGCCGCACTCGGAGGTTTGTGTTTTCTCTTTTTCTCCGGATGTTGATCAGTCGGGTAGCTCATTGGTTTCCTTTTGCTTTGAACTAGCTTGTTAGCTCGATGGCTTTTGGTTTGGTTCCAGGTTTTAATGAGGCATGCTGATGAATGCCAATGAGCGTACAGTGTAAATGTAGTGTGTTGACATACCATTTGACCGCTTTTTGAGATGTCCATCTTAGTGGGTGTTCGGTTATATTACACTGCACAGTGTAGATCTTTTTCAGCATCATTGTTGTGACTAATTATGGAATAATTAAATTAATAATAGCACAAGTTGGCTAGTTAGTAAAGCAGCTAGACTCATACTGAACTCTACATCCCTGGAACTGTCTCTTACGTTTAGATGAACAGCTTCAGAATGACTTGGGGAAAACACAAAACGTAAAAAAAGGTTCCCATTGAGTTTATTTTTAGAGCTTTGTGCTTTGTAGTGTTCTGTGAGTGCACGCATGAACCAACAGATGGGTTCACCACAGTAGCCTGGATTTTGTCCCTGTAAAACTGTTTAAGAGGTTGTTTTTGTCAATGATCGTGTTTCTCCGTCAAACCACAGCGAAGGCCACCAGGAGTTCGGCTGTTATTTGAGTTTGGAATGCCTTTAAATTCAACCGCAAAGTACTGGCTGCCTAACCACAGCCTCTTTCCCCTTGTCCATTCAGTATGTGCTGCAAATGCCAAGAAATAGAGAGAGAGAGCGGAGGTTGAAGTCTCTGCTGTGGAACAACATGTGCCTCTGCGGAGCGTGCACGCAGTCTCTTCTGGCCTGTCTGCAGCTCTTTGCACAGTCGCTGTAAACAGAAAACACTGAAGGAAGCGGACTGACTGGTCTCCCGTTCAAAAAAACAAAGCAAACAGAAAACAGTCACGCAGCCGGCCTGTCGTGGTGAAACTTGGCCAGCTGGAGTTATGCTTGGCTTGTACACAGAAGCATGAATGAAATTGCGTCTGGAGTATATTTACGTTCACCGTCTTTCTTGTGCAGGATCTTTGCCCCACATTTCTGCTTTGTTGTTTGTTAGCATGTCATTACCTGCCTTCCATCCATCCACTCATGTATCCATCCA